CCCCCCCCCCCCCCCCACCACCACCAGCATCCCCCACCCCACCATCTCCAACTGCCTTGCACTATCATTTCCAGTTGTTTGTATTCACTCCTCTCTACACTGTCTTCTGCTTCCCTTCCCCTGATCATGAGGGCCATCCAGTTGTAATAAAGGTGAAAGACTGTCTCCCCACAGACACCCTCACCCATCCTGGCCACAGGGCTCTATCTGTGCCCTCTCGAAAGTTGACTGACCAGAGTGATGGTGTTTATAACGTGTTGTCAGTCCCACATCATCAGGCAGGAAGGATTTCCTCTTCAAAATGTCTCTCTGAATCCGCCGGGCATGATACCGTCGCTTCCTGGAGGCAGGTAACGTAACAAACGTTAAATCAGAAACAAACCAGGTCCTCATTCAACTACCACCGAGAGAAGAGGGGGCACAGAACCACAGGGAGTACAGGAGATAATCATGGAGTTGCACAGCTCTCCCTGGGGAGCAGCACCCTGCAATTTCACAGCCCTGCACAGTCAGAGGCACTGCCCAGCCTTAGGTGGTGCCAAACCTGCTCTTTGAAATGGCCTAGCAAGATGCTCGGAGCCATCAAAAGCACAATGAATAACCAAGATAAGACAGACAAGCACAGGCTCAAGGCCTAGTGAACCCAGTGGGATTGGTGGTCTGAACTGTATACGTTATAATGGGAGGAATATGACAGGTAGGGGAGATGAACTTAGAGCTTGGAATTATAACTATGATGTTGTAGCTGTTACAGCGACTTGGTTGAGACAAGGACAAGACTGGCAGCTTAATGTTTCTGGATTTAGATGTTTCAGGTGAGATAGGGGTGTAAAAGAGATGGGAGGGGGTTGTGTAACTGATAAGGGAGAATATCACAGCTATACTGAGGGGGCACATCTTGCGCTCATTATAGGTAGAGCTCAGGAACAGGAAGGTACAATTACTTCAATGAGATTGTACTACCGGCCTCCCAATAGCCAGTGGGAGATACAGGAACAGATATGTGGATAGATTTTGGAAAAATGTAAGAACAACAGGATTGTTGTGGTGAGTGATTTTTAACTTGTATTCACTGGGACTCACTTAGTGCCAGGGGTTTGGGTGGGGGGAATTTGTTAGGTCTGTGCAAGAGGGTATTTTGAAACAATATTTAAGTAGTGCAACTGGGGAAGGGGCCATACTAGACCCTGGTATTTGGGAAACAGCCTGGCCAGGTAATCAAAGTTTCAGTGGGGGAGCATTTCAGGAGCAGTGACCATAATTCTCTAAGTTTTAAGTTACTTATGATTAAGGATAAGCGTAGTTCTTAGGTGAAAGTATTGTAGGGAGGTTAACTACCACAACATCAGGCAGAAACTGTGGAATGTAGATTGGAGGCAGCTGTTTGAGCGTATATCCACATCTGGCCTGTGGGGAATCTTAGAAAGGCCAGTTGTTTGGATTCAGGACCATCATGTTCCTGTGAAAATGTAGGATAAGGATGGCAAGATTCAGGAACCTTGGATGACAAGAGAAATTGAGAGTTTAGTCAGAAAGAAAGAGGAGACACTCACAAGGTTTAGGAAACTTTAGACAGACAAAGCCCTTAAAGAATACAAAGACAGCAGGGAAGAACTCAAATTGGGAATTATAAGGGCTAAAAGGGGCCCTGAAATGAATTTGGCAAACAAGATTATGGAAAATCCCACAGTGTTTTATACATATATATGGAGCAAGAGGGTAGCTAGGGAAAGGGTAGGTCCACTCCAGGACAGAGGGATTTATGCATGGATCCGGAGGAAATGGGCAACGTCCTTAACGAATACTTTGGACTGGTATTCACAAAGGGGAAAGACATGGTGGATGGCGAGACTCGGGAGGGGTATGTTAATATTCTAGGTCAAGTCAATATACAAAAGGAGGAATTTTTGGGTATTTTGATAAGTGTTAAGATAGACAAGTCCCCAGGACCTGATGGGATCGATCCCAGAATGCTGAGGGAGGCAGGTGAGGCTCGGTCTTGCGTGAAATCCTTGTGACTGGAAAATAGCCAACATTGTTCCTTTGCTCAAGAAGGGCAACAGGGATAATCCAGGATGAGGAGTCTTGTGTCAGTGGTAGGGAAATTATTGGAGAAGATTCTTAGGGACAGGATTTACTCATGTTTGGAAAAATATGGACTTACTAGCTATAGGCAACATGGTTTTAGTGCTGGGAAGTGACTCTCAAACACGATCGAGATTTTTGAGGAAGTGACATAGATGATTGATGAGGGCAGAGCGGTGAATGTTGTCTGTAAGGCCTTTGGCAAGGTCCCCGATAGCAGGCTTATACAGAAGTGAAGTCACATGGGATCTGCAGTGAGCTGGTAAGATGGATACAGAACTGGAGTAGTCATAGATATGATGTGGAGGTGCCAGTGTTGGACTAGGGTGGATAAAGTCAGAAGTCACACGACACCGGGTCATAGTCCGACAGGTTTATTTGAAATCACAAGCTTTCAGAGCGCTGCTCCTCCATCAGGTGAAGTTTCCTGGTGAAGGAGCAGCGCTTCGAAAGCTTGTGATTTTAAATAAACCTGTCAGACTATAAACTGGTGTCGTGTGATTTCTGACTCAGCCAGAGAAGACAGAGAATAGCGGTGAAAGGGTGTTTTTCTGACTGGAAATCTGTGACCGGTGGTATTCTGCAGGGATTTAGAGCAGAATGTAGGTGGCCTGAGTAGTAAATTTGCAGACTACACAAAGATTGCGGGAGCTGCAGATAGTGAGGAGGATTACCAAAGGATACAGAGAGCAAGATATTGACAGGCTGGAGAAATGGCAGATGGAGTTTAATCCAGACAAATGTGGGGTGATGCATTTTGGAAGATGTAATGCAGGAGGGAAATATACAGTAAATGGCGGAACCCTTGGTAACATCAACATACAGAGGGATCTAAGCATATAGGTCCATGGTTCCCTGAAAGTGGCAACACAAGAGGCTAAGGTGATCAAGAAGGCATATGACAAGCTTGCCTTCATTGTTCAGGGCACAGAGTATAAAAATTGGCAAAGTCCTGTTGCAAACTTTAGTTAGGCCACATGTGGAATATCGTGTACAGCTTTAGCTGCCAGGATGCGGAGGCTTTGCAGAGGGTACAGAAACTGTTTAACAGCATGTTGCCTGGTTTGGAGGGTATTAGCTACGAGGAGAGGTTGGACAAATGTGGTTTGTTTTCACTGAACAATGAAGGATGAGGGGTGACCTGATATAAGTTTACAAACTTATGCGGGGCATGGATAGAATGGATAGTCAGAGTCTTTATCCCAGGGTAGAAATGTCAATTACTGGGGAATATAGGGTGAAAGTTTAACAGAGGTGTGGGAGGTAAATTTTTTTGTTTTACACAGCGGGTGGTAAGTGCCTGGAATGCGCTGCCAGAGGAGATGGTGGAGGCAGATACAATAGCAATATGTAAGAGGCATCTTGACAGATACATGATTAGGTAGGGAATAGAGGGATATAGATCGCATAGAGGCAAAAGGGTTTTAGTTTAGAAAGGTACGTGTCAGCACAATTTTGGTGGGCAGAATTGCCTGTTCCTATGCTGTATTATTCTTTGTGGGAGCCTGTACTCTCCACCCAACCACCCAGCAGCAGTGACCGTTCCCCACCAGGCCACCTCCTTACTCACCAGGAATTCGATAGGATCCCCTTCATCCCACCGTAATTTGGATTCCCATATTTCATGTAATACTGACTCCGTCTCGCTGCTCCCAATTCCTTCCGATCATCTGCAAATCAGTGCAGCTGTCACTAACAGCCCAGGAAAAAGTTCCAACAACTCGACAACTTCCAGAATACTGGAAAGCCCAACCTCGTCCCAAGTACCCACAAAGCCACAGACACAAAGGTACCAGGTTCAATCCTGACACATCATGCCTCTTGGGTTAGTCATGGGGGAATGAATCATCGATTATGGGGACAACGGGAGAGCAGAGTGAGAGAGACAGAGGAAGTGATCCGGACCCCACTCACCTTTTGTGGCAAATCGGAGTTGCAGTTTGTTTCCCTGGGGGGCCCTTATTGCCTGCCGCAAATCATTTCGAAGGATCGAAGCTTGTTCAGCCTGTGACAGTGTGTCCAACTAGCCATGAAAACAAGAGAAATAACTTAAATGGTTCAGTTATTGTTGCTCAGAGCTTGCACCGGCCATGTGTCAAAATAAAATGACCCAAAAGCCTCAAGCTCAGTTGGCCCTGCGCTTGAAACAAGAAACACACGGTACCATTCAGCACACCAGCTTCTGGCTGTTGTCAATGACAACCAGAGATCTGGGCGATGTATTTTCATTCACTCGTGGGACATGGGCATCGCTGGCTGGGCCCAGCATTTATTGCCCGTCCCTAATTGCCTCCCTTGAGAAGGTGGGGATGAACTGCCTTCTTGAACCGCTGCAGTCCATGTGCTGTGGGTTGACCCACAATGCCCTTAGGGAGGGAATATCAGCTTCACAAATGCCAGTACAGGAGCTGGACTGCACAAAGGATGCAGGGAAATGGCCATCAATGCTGAGATGGTTTAGACTGGAGGGGGACTGTTAGAAAAAGCAAAAGGCCGATTTGTTGCCTGGAAGTGTATTTGACAAACTCTGGAGAATAATGGGACACAGAGTGTACTTTGGGGAGTGAAAGAAATTGTATGAAGAAGAGAAATAGGACCTAAAGAAGACCACTCAGCCCCTCCAGTCTGCTCTGCCTCAAGCTTCACTCCTCTTTCCTGCTCTAACCAAATTCTTTGGTTCCCTTTGTGCCAAAAATAAACTATTTCTGACCTGAATAAATGCAACAATTGGTGACATACCTCACTGTCTGTCGTGGTGGCCTTGCATTCCACCTCCTCAGAGTCTCTAGGCTCCTTCTCCAACTCGCCCTCTTCTTCCTCCTCTTCATTGTCAGCCCTCTCAGCCGTCTCCTGCTCACTAGCGCTATCTGCATCAAAACAGGGAGAAATTATTCAGCAGAGAAACATGAACCCTGCAAAGAATTGATCGACAGCAATATGACAGTGGCGTTATAGAGTCATACAGCATGGAAACAAGCCCTTCAGTCCAACCAGTCTACACCGAACATGTTCCCAAACTAAACTAGTCCCACCTGCCTGCGCTTGGCCCATATCCCATCAAACCTTTCCTATTCATGTCTTTTAAATGCTGTAACTGTGTCCAAATCCTCCACGTCATCTGCAGTTCATTCGACACACGAACCACTGTGTAAAAAAAGTTGCCCCTCGTGTCGTTTTTAAATCTTTCTCCTCTCACCTTGAAAATATGTTCCTTAGTTTTGAACACCCCCATCCTAGGGAAAAGACATCTGCCATTCGTCCTGTCTGTACCCCTCATGATTTTATAATTTTTAAAATTATCACTAATCTCGTCCCTCAACCTCCTACACCCCAGTGAAAAAGTCCCAGTCTTTCCCGTATATTTTTTATATCTCAAATCCTCCATTCCTGGTAACATCCTGGTAAATCTTTTCTGAACTCTCTCCAGTTTAATAATACCCTTCCTATAGCAGGGTAACTATAACTGTACACTGTACTCCAGAAGAGGCCTCACCAATGTCCTGTACAACCTCAACATGACGTCCCAACTCCTATACTCAAAGGACTGAGGAATGAAGGCAAGCGTGCTAAATGTCTTCTTTACCAACCTGTCTACCTGTAATGCAAATTTCAAAGAATTATGTACCTGAACCCCTAGGTCTCTCTGTTCTACAACACTACCCAAGGCCCTTCCATTAATTGTATAAATCCTGCCTTTGTTTGTTAGCAGAATGCAATACCTCGCGTTTATCAAAATCAAACTCCATCTGCCACTCCTCAGCCCACTGACCCAATTGGTCAAGGTCTTTTTGCAATCTTAGACAACCTTCTTCACTGTCCACAATACTACCAATTTTAGGGTCATCCACAAACTTACTAACCGTGCCTCCTATATGCTCATCCAAATCGTTTGTATAAATGACAAACAAGAACAGACCCAGCACGAATCCCTGTGGCACACTGCTGGTCAAAGGCCTCCAGTCCAAGGAACAACCCTCCATCACCACAATCCTCTGTCTCCTGCCATAAAGCCAATTATTCGTCTAATTAGTCTACCATGTGTACCTTGTCATAGGCTTTACTAAAGTCCAAGTAAACAACGTCTACCGTTCTGCCCTCATCAAAAAACTCAATCAAGTGTATGAGACACGGCTTCCCTCACACAGTAGGTACAGACCGAGTTAGATCTAACTGAGGTTTGGGCACCTGGCAAATTAAACCTGATTTGCTCTATTGATCGACAACAAGCCAAGTGGATTAAAACAAGGAAATTCAACTTACAATGGAATAAATTCAAGCTGTGTGGCATTGGATGATGTCATCACTGAAGGAAGACAAGGACCTAAGAGTGTAACATCAGAAGTGCATCACATAACAAAAGCACTGACTTACATATCATACCAGTCTGGAGCATTAAACATACCCATGGAGCCACTGAAAGCTGGTCTCAACGTAAAGATGAAAGGTGCTCTGTGTGGGGCACACAGTATCTGGCTATAACTGAGCCACACTGATCAAAATGTTCAGTGTTCTACTTCCTGCTGTTTGCCGAGTTTGTTTATTACAGCTGAGGCTGTGTTGCAGGTTAGGCAACTGACTTCAGCATCCCCAGGAACAGTCCTTGAGATGAGGTGGGGGGTGACAAATAATTGACCACGGTTTGGCCATTTTGATTCCTTGCCCAAGCCCAGCTGGAAAGGGAGAAGAGGGTTCAGAAACGGATTGGGCTGTGGTGCCTTCCAGTATGTTATGCTGCCAACAGTTACTTTTTAGAAAAGACAACTTAGCACAAAGTTTATTCAGAGACACAGATTCTTACAGCACGAGAGGAGGCCATTCAGCCCACTGTGCCTGTGAAAGACATTTCCAATTAGCTTGATCTCACTGCCCTTTTCCCATAGCCCACTAATGCTTTCTATTCTAAATGAACAAGGAGGTATATTTCTGGATGGAAAGATCATATTACCGAAAAAACTGAAGGAGCTGGGGTTCTTTATTCTAAACAACAGTAAGTGACTTTAAAATGTTTGTAGGGATTTGACATTGTAGCCAGTAAGAAAAGTCCACGAGGATACTCTGGCACTGAGCTGATTGCCTATTACCATGTTATAAATACAATACATTGCATGACCAGCTATGACATACATCAGAATGCTTACAGCAAACAATCCAGATTCAAGGCACCAAAATACGGTCTAACAGTGAGTGTGCTCTGGGCCACAGGGAAATTCTTACTGCGCTAGCCTGTTCTCAGGTCCCTGCATAACTACCTCTAATGTATGTACATTTTTCTTAAATAAGGAGACCAAAACTGTGCACAGTATCCAGAAGTGATTGTGTTAATACCCTGTACAAATGCAACAAAACAGCCTTTTATATTCCATTCTCCTTGCAATAAACAATAACATTTCATTTGCCTTCCTAATCACTTGCTGTTTCTGCAGACTAACCTTTTGTGATTAATCCAACAGGACACCCAGATCCCATAGAGTTCTACTATCTCTCTCTCCAGTTAAATAACTTTTCTATTCTTCCTGACAAAATGGACAAATTCACATTTGTCATAGATAGGAGAATGTTACTTAAAGGGATGATGATGGAAAGGCAACAGCAAACATTGAAAGAACACATTAGTGACCTCAACATTTGTTCACTCCTATTGGGTGCAAAAGTAAAATGGGGAAGGTGACCAAACCATGGCTTCCAAGGGAAATTGGAGACAGTATTAGATCCGAGGAAGAGGCATACAAACAACAGACCCGAGGATTGAGAACAGAATTCAACAAAAGAGAACAAGGGGATCAAATGTGAAAGAGAAAATAGAATACAAGAGTAAGCTTGTGGGGAACGTAAAAAAACTGACTGTAAAAGTTTCTATAGGTATGTGAAGACAAAGAGATTGGTGAAGACAAATGTAGGTCCCTTACAGTCAGAAACGGGGGAATTTATAATGGGAAACAAAGAAATGGCTGACCAACTAAATACATACTTTCGTTCTGTCTTCACAAAGAAGGACATATATGAAATGTTGGGGAACACAGGATTTAGAGGGAGGGAGGAACTGAAGGAAATTGATATTAGTCTGGGAATGGTGCTAGGGACATTGATGGGATTGAAGGCAGATAAATCGCAGGCCCTGATAATCTACATCCCACAGTAGCTAAGGTAGTGGCCCTAGAAATAGTTGATGCATTGGTGATCAACTTCCAGATTCTCCAGACCCTTGTGCAATTCCTACAGATAGGAGGAAAGCGAATGTAACCCCTCTATTTAAAAAGTACATCAGAGACACCAGTCACTTGAAGATAAGCTGCAGGTGCAGGAGGCAATGAAGAAGGTAAATGGTATGCTGGCCTTCATAAAGAGTGGATCTGAGTACAGTATCAGGGACGTCGTGCTGAGATTATACAGGGCCTTAGTGAGGCCAAACCTGGAATAGTGTGTGCAGTTTTGGTTTCCTCATCTGAGGAAGGATATCCTTGCTAGAGAGGGAGTGCAGCAAAGGTTTCCCAGGCTGCGGAATTCACTATCACAGAAAACTGACGAGACCAAAACATTGTATCATTCTGAGGAGGAGTTGGATAAAGCACTTGGAGCTAAAGAAATCAAAGAACGTGAGGGAAAAGCAGGAACACGCTATCGAGTCGGATGATCAGTCATGATCATACTGAATGGTGGAGCAGGCTCCAAGGGCTGAATGGCCTACTCTTGCTCCTATTTTCTTTGTTTCTAAGTGCCCTATTATTATCTCGTTAATAATGGATTTGAGCATTTTCCCTCCAACAGACGCTAACTGACCTGCAGCTTTCTGCTTTCCACCTTCCTTCTTTCTTGAACAGAGAAGTCACATTCACTTTTTCCAATCTAATGGGACCTTTCCAGAGTCTCAGGAAGTTCACAAAATTTAAACCAACATATCTGTAGTCTCAGCAGCCATTTACACCAGAGGATGATATCGTCAGGGCCAAAGGACTGGTCAGATTTCAGTTTGAATAATCTACAATATACTTAAGGCCTAGACAGGGCAGGTGCAGGTAACACGTTTCCCCTGGTTGTGGAGTCTAGAACCGGTGGCACCATTTAAAAAGAAGAACGATACAGTGGTTGGTTGGCTCACCGAGCTGGTTTGTTGTTTCGCAGAGGTTTCATTACCCTGCTGGGTAACATCATCAGTGCAGCCTCCGATGAAGCGTCGGTATGTTTTCCGGCCTGGTTTTTAAACTCTGGGGTCCATTGAGCTGGATTACCTCACTTCCGGTTTTCCTTCGTAGCGGAATGTACATGGGGTTGAGTTCTGTGTTTATTAATGGCTTTCTTTGTGGAGTACCAGGCTTCTAGGAATTCCCGTGCCTGTCTCTGCTTAGCTTGTCCCAGGATCTTGGTGTTGTCCCAATCGAACACCAAGATCCTGGGACAAGCAAAGCAGAGACAGGCACGGGAGTTCCTAGAAGCCTGGTACTCCATGAAGAAAGCCATCAACAAACACATAGAACTCAACCCCATATACACTCCGCTACGAAGGAAAACCAGGAGTGAGGCGATCCAGCTCAATGGACCCCAGAGTTTAAAAACCAGGAGGGAAAACACAACAGCACTTCATTGGAGGCTGCACTGATGATAGAACATAGAACATGGAACATTACAGCGCAGTACAGGCCCTTCGGCCCTCGATGTTGCGCCGACCTGTGAAACCAATCTGAAGCCCATCTAACCTAAACTATTCCATTATCATCCATATGTTTATCCAATGACCATTTAAATGCCCTTAAAGTGGGCGAGTCTACTATTTTTGCAGGCAGGGCATTCCACGCCCTTACTACTCTCTGAGTAAAGAACCTACCTCTGACATCTGTCCTATATCTATCCCCCCTCAATTTAAAGCTATGCCCCCTCATGCTAGCCATCACCATCCAAGGAAAAAGGCTCCCACTGTCCACCCTATCTAATCCTCTGACGATCTTGTATGTCTCTATCAAGTCACCTCTTAACCTTCTTCTCTCGAACGAAAACAGCCTCAAAACCCTCAGCCTTTCCTCATAAGACCTTCCCTCCATACCAGGTAACATCCTGGTAAATCTCCTCTGCACCCTTTCCAATGCTTCCACATCCTTCCTATAATGCGGTGACCAGAACTGTACGCAATACTCCAAGTGCGGCCGCACCAGAGTTTTGTACAGCTGCAACATGACCTCATGGCTACGAAACTCAATCCCTCTACCAATAAAACCTAACATACTGTACGCCTTTTTAACAACGCTATCAACCTGGGTGGCAACTTTCAGTGATCTATGCACATGGACACCGAGATCTTTCTGCTCATCCACACTACCAAGAATCTTACCATTAGCCCAGTACTCTGTATTCCTGTTACTCCTTCCAAAGTGAATCACCTCACACTTTTCCGCATTAAACTCCATTTGCCACCTCTCAGCCCAGCTCTGCAGCTTATCTATGTCCCTCTGTAACCTACAACATCCTTCCGCACTATCCACAACTCCACCAACTTTGGTGTCATCCGCAAATTTACTAACCCATCCTTCTACGCCCTCATCCAGGTCATTTATAAAAATGACAAACAGCAGTGGCCCCAAAACAGATCCTTGAGGTACACCACTAGTAACTGAACTCCAGGATGAACATTTCCCATCAACCACCACCCTCTGTCTTCTTACAGCTAGCCAATTTCTGATCCAAACCGCTAAATCACCCTCAATCCCATGCCTCCGTATTTTCTGCAATAGCCTACCATGGGGAACCTTATCAAACGCTTTACTGAAATCCAAATACACCACATCAACCGCTTTACCCTCATCCACCTGTTTGGTCACCTTCTCGAAGAACTCAATAAGGTTTGTGAGGCACGACCTACCCTTCACAAAACCGTGTTGACTATCCCTAATCAAATTATTCCTTTCTAGATGATTATAAATCCTATCTCTTATAATCCTTTCCAACACTTTACCCACAACCGAAGTAAGGCTCACTGGTCTATAATTACCAGGGTTGTCTCTACTCCCCTTCTTGAACAAGGGGACAACATTTGCAAGTCTCCAGTCTTCTGGCACTATTCCTGTAGACAATGACGACATAAAGATCAAAGCCAAAGGCTCTGCAATCTCCTCTCTAGCTTCCCAGAGAATCCTAGGATAAATCCCATCTGGCCCAGGGGACTTATCTATTTTCACACCTTCCAGAATTGCTAACACCTCCTCCTTATGAACCTCAATCCCGTCTAGTCTAATAGACTGTATCTCAGTATTCTCCTCGACTACATTGTCTTTTTCCTGCGTGAATACTGACGAAAAATATTCATTTAGCACCTCTCCTATCTCTTCGGACTCCACGCACAACTTCCCACTACTGTCCTTGACCGGCCCCAGTCTTACTCTAGTCATTAAATGTTACCCAGCAGGGTAATGGCGGTGAGCCAACCAACCACAATATCCACAACCCGAGCTACAAATCTACTCTAAAACCTAAGAGAGATATAGTTTAAGGTCAAAGTGAGAAGATTTTTATTTTGCTCAGAGGGTTGTGTACCTTTGCAACTCTCAATCTGAGCAAGCTGTGAATGCTCCATCTTTGAGAGTGGGTAAAGTGTGATGAATGCTTGAATATCAATGGTGTAAAGCGTTGAGAACAGTGAGAGTAAAAAGTACTGAACTGTTTGATCAGACATGATTGTATTAAATGGCAGAGCAGGCTCCAAGTGCTAAATGGCCTCCTCCTGTTACTATACTGCCTTTCACCTCTGGGTTCGTAATGATTTCTGGGATATTATTTCTATCGTCTGCAGTTAAAATAGGTGCAAAATCCCTGTTCAGTTCATCTGCCATTTCCTTATTTTTCATCCTTAATTCCCCAGACTCATTCTGTACAGACCAATGCTCACTTTACACATTTTTCCCTTTTAAATGCTTGTAGAAACTCCCACTATCTGTTTTTATATTTCTAACTAGCTTTCTCTCATACTCTTACTCCCCTCCTTATCAATATTTCAGTCTTTCATTGTGGTTCTTACATATTCTGTCCAAACAGATGACCAGTCACTCATCTTAGTGGATTTGTGTGTTTGCTTTCAGTTTGATGTTATAATTAACTTCCTGACTTAGACACAGATGGGCAAGTCCTTCCCTTAGAATCTTTTTCTCACTGTAATGTACTTTTCTGGAGTGTTCTAAGATACCTTCATTTCTAATGGCCTGTTCTATAACCAGACCTTGCAGTGCACTTTAGCCAGGTGTTTTCATGTCCTCATAACTGCCCTTATTTAAGTTTAAACCACTAGTGTTTGATCCACCCTTCTGCCTCTGAAACTAAATTTGAAATTCAATCACATTATGATCATTACTGCCGGGGTCGGGGGGGGTGGTGCTTTTAAATCACGGGGTCATTAATGTACCTTGTCCCGTTGCACATTACTGGGTCCAGTCCTTGCTCTGGTTGACTATAGTACATGCTGTTCTAGGAACACAGGAACAGGAGTAGGCCATTCAATCCCTCAACCTTTTGCACCATTCAATGCGATCAGGGCCGATTTGTGGCCTACCTTAGATAAATTTTTGTCAATCAATCACAGATTTAAAACTAAGAAACTGTTCCAAAATCATCCCATGAAAGCCATCATCCAGGTCACTCTTACCAATCGGATTCATCCACCTGTAGGTAGAGTAAATTCATTCATGAATTAATTGGCAGGCATTACCTTGCTTTATAGAGTTGAGTTTGCCTCTGACTGCAGCCTGAGACTGGGCACTGGTATTTGCATCTAAACCAACACTCAGATTTATCATGGCGCGTGCAGCTGTGACGTCATCCAGCCATACTACGTTACCTAGGAAACATTCAAGCAACGATACTTTCAGAAATGAGACCAAAATAGCATAAGGAGCCACTTCGGTCTACTTGTACACTGGGGCTCCATCTCCCAATACAACAGCTCAATCATCATCTCTCGACTGGCATTAATTAGGACACGCCAATGTACTAATAAAGTATTTCAGAAGTGCAGAGCAATGTGGCATTATGACATAGGAAATGTAGTAGACAAATACACACAAACAGCAATGTTGATGGACCTGGGATACTGGGAGGACCAACCTGCTCTTCTTCAAAATAGTGACCATGGGATCTTCTGCGACCATGTAAGGGTGGACAGAGCCCTTAGCTTATCATCTCATCAAACACACATCAACGAAAGCACAGCGCTCCCTCAGCGCTGACCCTCCGACAGCGCGGCGCTCCCTCAGCG